GACTATTGACCAGAAGTCTCGCACACCGCGGTGGCTAGCATCCCATCCGACATACCTTGTGTATCTGCGTAGCTCCGATATGTCGATCTCTTGCACACCCTCAACAAGCGATTGGAGGAGCGGAGGTGTCAGAAGCTGGAGTGCCTTGTGATGCAGACACGCTCGGAAACCGCGCTCGAACGCTTCGTATTGCGGGCGAACGGAAACATCTGTGAGGTACTTGATGTAATCACTCACATACGCATTTCTGTTCTCGTTGGTTACGAGCGGAGCGTCTTTGGGATTCTCGTCCGCCAGTGACTTTCCTGCCGCGACTTCGAATTGCGGCCAGCTGCGAGTCTGGTCGTTCATTTCACGAGAAACCGGCTGGCCGAACATTGAAACCGAGAATTCGTATGTGCGAGCAAAAACGTCCTCTACCAGTCCCTGCCTCTCGTCCCATTCGAGAAGCGTAGTCAAGCCCATAGCGAGGTCCGGCCACCCGTCGGCGATGTGGTGCAACTCGTCTACAGGCTCGCCCAAGAGTTTGCGGTAGAGTGCTCTCGGGAAAGTGATGGGCAGCGTTAAGCCATTGTAGACAGCCAGCGAGACCAGGAGACCAAGAATCTCAAACTTCCACGACGGCACGATGGACCCAGGAACAAACCAAGCCATACGAGTTCGGTCGTCTACTGTAAAGGCGCCATAGTCTGGGTTGAGGCACTCGGCGACAGCAAGTCGAAAAAATTCTTGTTGAACTCCACCCGAGTCGAAACCTTCTTCTCCGGCATCTTCACCTAGGTGAATCTTCAATGGTCGGTGTAGTTCTCGGTTCTCCCGCCGCCAAAGCTGATCAAAGGCATCCCTGATAACGTTCTTCCGACTGATTTCGAGGATCAAGTACTTTGAAGATGCCGTCTTCAAAAGATCCTGCAGAACGAGCTTGTGATGAGGGATGGTAATAAGACCTCCGGGGGCAACAATCGCTTTCATCCGTGTTTGGAGCGAGCTGGATTCCTCGTAGCTTCGGCTCATCTTCGAGAAGTTGATAGATCGAAAGTAAGAAACTAGAGTAGATGGATCAAAAATGAAGGGGAAGTCGAGCAGATGCTTCTTCTGCTTGGATGAAATGTGGGCAAGCCAGGCGACAGGCATGTTAATCGAGTCTAGCCTCTCTGCAAAGTAGTCCACGCGGAATTGGACGTCTCCCAGAAGCAGGTCCTGACGTTTCTCGTCTATGAGGAATGTTAGTCAAAGACCTAAAAGAGGATGATCTGCAAACTTACACATGGCAGCAATCAATGACAAAGCTCCGCCGAAGGAGCCATCGCACGATATTTCAGGCTGACCATCCCACTCCTGAAGCATGACTGTCTTGGCCCAGTCTAAAAGCAGAGTCGAGACCCTTGATTCATGACCAGCCCTCTCGAGCTGTCCCAGTTCGGGATTTGAAGACGAATAGGAATTAAGCAGGTCTAGTTGAGACAAGAGAGGCCGAAGGGCATCTGATTCTTGGTCATCATCCTCAACACCATTGTCTTGCGTGGCCATATCTGCAAAACACTTCCGCGCAGAGATGGCAGCAAAAAGGCGCCTCGCAAGCCTGAGTGCCAATTCATTCGAAAAAGCGTCATCGTAGAGAAGGCATAGCCAAGCCGGTTGTCGCGCTAGAGCACCGCTTCCTGCCAAAGTCAAACCATTTGAGCGGATCCGTGACATATCAAAGAGTATTCTAGAGTCTGTTATCAACGGTGCCGCTGCTACTAATGCGTGAAGGCATATTGATAGTAAATGACCAGCCTCAAGATTAGCAAGAGACCGTTCACTCCGGCGAAAGACTTTGGTAGTAGGGGACCGCAGCGACTGGAGTGACTTGGGCGCTCCAAAAAGACTTCCGGCAGCCATCCACAAGCTGTGGAAAACCAGACTAGGAGCTACTCGTGTAAGCCTCAGCATGCAGTACCAGATCGTGTGAGAATCAAGCAGCTCATCGTCCTTGACGAAAGATGAGACCAGGGCAACAGGGTCGCTCAGGATGTTGAAAAGGCTTTGCTCGATGAATAGCTTCCATTGCCGTTGGAGTCGCTTGGGGTAGGTGCTCCGAGGGTTGTGCTTTCTCTGCATCTTGGGAGCCCGGTCCTTGAGCCCGGAGTATGTGCTGGTGATTTTGGGGGGGTCGAAAAGATGGGATTCTGAGGTACCGTCGTCTTGGAGGATGTCACACAAAAGATCAACCACTTCGACGTTGAGGTATGTCAATGATTGCGGAAGCATGTTGTCGGCGATTGGCACGTCAACCGGCTCCTCGCTTTGCTTGGTGTCATCGACTGAATGGCTCGACTGTGCACACTGAGTCCGGGTCTCCAATGCCACTTCTTGTGGATTGGAAGACTCTGCTGGCGGTCTAACGTTGCGAAAGCTTGTCGTGAGCGGTGACTCTGGCTCTTGAACAATAGTTACAGAGTGATTTTGCGGCGGTACATTGTCAAAAAAGGAGGGTGTAGATGGTATTTCTGGGATGGCGTAAGGGTTAACGTGGGATGGTTTCGACGGCCTCGGTGGCTTTTCATGCGACGTCCTGGGAGAAGCCAGTCCTGAGGTGACGTCCTCGGATAATGATGAGGTTGGGTATGGCTCGATAGAAAGCTTTCTAGTGGGTTTCGAATTGGCCCTTACTCTAGCGCTTGAGCTCCTTTTAGGCTTGCTGGGCCGTGGGTTAGACAACGCCGAGGTTGAACTATGCAGCTTTTGAGAAGCCTGGTCGAGAACAGTATCCGGCCCATGTTCCGTTGTTATCTGGGCCACATCGCTCGAGGTTTTGTCGGCGTAAATGACCGAGGGCATTGACTGCGTAGGCGTTGACTGGCCTGATGGCTTCTGTGATCTTTGAGTTTCTTCCCTCGAGGGACTATGCGTCGCATCAACCTCTAGTGCAGCAACCTTTTCAGACATAGCATCCAGGCCAGCTGGAGTGAGCCATTCCAGCATTTTGAAGGCGACAGTCCCGAAGACATTGGCGGCGAACGAGCGATAGTCCTTGCTGATGGGCCGCTCGGCTACTTTGAAAGCGGCTTTTGCAGCGCCCGTCGTCGAATCGAAATGCGACCGCTCCTTGGAGAGAGAGGGGGGCCGGCGTCCGGTTTCTTCAGTATCCGGGGTGGCCTTTTGAGAACCGCCGTCTTCACCGTTTAGCCTGGCAGATGTGACTGATTTCCGGCGCCTTGCACCCTTTGGTGTAGCGGAACGCTTCGAAAAGGGGTCATTAAAGCCGGGTGCCACGAGGTTCGGTGAGAATATGAGCGAGTTCAGGGCGGCCGGGGTCTCTTTCGGGGGCTTGAGGTAGGGGCAGAGTCCCGTCTCGGGGTTGTCCTGGCTAGCAAGGTAGACGGCCAATGTCCTTGCACTCGTGGTGTTGTATCTTCGTATTGGCGCCTTGCCGGCGAGGCGCTTGCGACAGGAGAAGCAGGTCGGGGTCGTACAGGCCTTGGAGTCGCATCCGTATCGCAGCTGAAGGACGTATCTGAGAAGAGGCATGTTAGCTTGGGTTGCGCTGAAGGAAGGCGACTAGGTCTATGGAAACGCACATCTCGACAAGGATCTGGAAGTTGTGACGGCGACTGGCGCGGTGGATGGCATAGACACGCTTCGGGTTCTCGATGGTCTGGACCATGTCCTTCAGTTCGGGAGGCGCATCGGGGGGCAGACGCGCAAACGGCGCGTCTTCCCATAGGGCAGCTAGGAGATCAGCATCGAGGCTGGTCTCGTGCTGAGGTCCCTCCTCAGGACAGCGGATATCTCGAGTCATTACATCCGGGCCGCAGGCGCCGTGGGGTATATTTGATGGTTAAGTTGGATAGCTCTCAGCGACGGGGAGGAGGAAATGCGGCAGAGGGCGGGTAGCGAAGACAGGAGATTGAAGCAAGAAGGAGAGGCTGAAAGTGCAGGGACCGCTGATGTGGTTGAAATGCAGTAGTACTCGTACAGAAGATATTACAACGCAAGCGACAGCTGGGGCAAGCAGAGAAAGGTTGGCGATGAATGAATAAACTTATCGGGATGACGGGTGGGTAGGCAGGGGAAGCGGCAACAGTCTCGCCCGTCGTAAAGGAGGAGATGGGCACCGTATGGGCACGCCACGGGGCTCGGCGATGACACGGTGCGGTTAAGACAGAACGGGACACGGTCTCTGGGGTCATTCTTCAGAAGTGGATCCGCAGGGACGGGAGCAGGCAATCAGAACATGGAACATTCCGCAGAGGGTCCGAATTTAGAATGCGAATTCCACCCTCGGGCCCAAAAAAAGACGAACCGGATAGGGTGTTTCTGACATCAGCCGCATCGTTGCCGCCTGCCACCAGGAACGGACCAACGTCCAACCAGGCTCGGCGCCATCGGCGGGTTTTGCCTCCGATCTTTTGCCAACTCAAATGCCGCCACTGCCCGCCCCGTAAGAACCCCCCTTCCCATCCTGATTAGTCAAGTCAGTCAGTCAGTCATTCACTCATTTGGATACCGGTATTTGATGATGCTGAACACCCGGAGGTCACTTGTCACTCGTCCTTCGTGTGAACCGGTTTGAAATCTAATCGCGTAGCCGCAGGTATTGTTTTACTACGAAGAATATCAAACGAATAGAAACCATGTATGAACCAATGTCGCACTGTGGTATGAGGAGTACCATATTGGTCAAGTAACACTCTTGGCCATCTTTATCAGACAAGTTTCCAGTGCTGCATCGGAGACCTTTGGCCGTATGTATTATTCATCAAGACAGGCCGAAAGCAAGACCTGCATGTCGAGGCCCAAGTTGGGCTTATGCTTGCAGCCTCCAAACCACACACAATCAGTTATACTTTGCCGGATAAGGAACGGTACCTTATTTTCAAAACGGTGACAAGCACACTACCAGAGTTTTGCCTCCTCTTCAGCTTACCGCCCAGTATGTACTCCTAATATATACCTACAGGTATATATGACAGCTAGATCGGACTAGAAAGAAGCAGGTAGAACCCTTCTCCCCTCGATCCCCCGAAACCCCAAAAAGGGATCACCTACTCCGTGCTTCGGGAAGACAACACTGCCCCCACTTAGCAGGGCAGCAACTGCCAGGAACACGCTAAAGGTTCAAGCCTGCCAGTGGCACAACATTTCAGGACAGGCCCGACCCAAGGGCTCTAAACTGCAGGTGACGTGCCTATCACGTCCCTCCAAACCCCCGCCTAACCCACTAAAGCCCTGGCGAATTTTCCCTTTGCCTTTTAAAATCATTTCCCCTCCATCCGCCCGACTTTGACGCACCTGCACCGCCGGGACGCTCATCTTTTGCCTCCCTTCTTCCTCTTCTTTTGCGCATCCTGCACCTTTACAATTGCGCGCAATCATACTCCCTATTCCTTCGGATTCTTGGAATAGCCGCGCCAACACAGGAACCGACACCAAACGCAGATCACGTCCTTCGCACACGACATTCACTATGGCGAGTGTCGATGTCGCTGCCCTCGGTGCCATTCCCGTAAATGGAGGGGCAACCGCCGCTTCGCATCCCTACACCTGCAACACCTGCTCTGTTGCGTACCGAAATATCGACCTGCAGAGAGGTCACATGAAGAGCGACTGGCAGTATGTATTCCTTGCTTTTCTTTACCTCTTCTCACACTCTCGCTCTCCATCTTTTGTTCCTGGCTTCCCATAGTGTTTCCTCGCTGTTCCGCTCAACCCAACTGACATCATCTTTCCAGTCGATACAACCTCAAGCGCAGAGTCGCCTCCCTTCCTCCTATCTCCTCCGAAGTCTTCAACGAGAAGGTTCTACAGGCACGCGCCGTTCAGACGGCCGAGGCAGAGAAGGCCTTGTTCGAGCGTAGCTGTGATGCGTGCCAGAAGTCGTACTCGAGCGAGAATGCGTACCAGAACCATCTCACGAGCCAGAAGCATAAGGTCCGCGTCGCTGCAATTGCTAGACGCAAAGGTGGCGTCACCGATGATGCCAGTTCTGTCATGAGCTCTACCTTCTCCCTCGGCGAGCCTATCGCTGTCGACAAGGAGAACGAGTTGGATTCCGAGGCCGAGGAGGAGTTCACCCAGGTTGTCGAGGGTCTCAAGAAGGCCAACATTCATGAGCCCCACGACGAGCGCCCGTCCCCCGTCAAGCGTCCCTCCAACCCCCACTTGTCTGCTCAGAGCCAGCGCGCCAGCGATGATGCCACCATTAACCGCGAGTCCGACTCCACCACTCCCGTTCCGTCTAAGCCGGAGATCTCCTGGAGCACAAAGTCCTGCCTTTTCTGCAATTACGAGTCACCCAATGCCCCACTCAACGCCAACCACATGGAGCGATTCCACGACATGTTCATCCCCGAGAAGCAGTACCTGGTCGACCTTGAGGGTCTGCTGCAGCACCTTCAGGAGCGCATCCACGAGGGTCACCAGTGCTTATACTGCTTCAAGACCAAGAAGACGGCATTCGCCGTACAGACCCACATGCGTGACAAGGGACACTGCAAGATCCCCTACGACACCGAGGAGGTCCAGCTGGATATTGGTGACTTCTACGATTTCCGCAGCACTTACTCCGATGACGACGAGTCGGACGACGACGAGGCTGAGCAGAACGGCGGGGCCAAGCTGGGTCTGAAGCGTCCCACGAAGCTGGTTGGTGAAGACGGCGAGGAGGTCGAAGAAGGCGCGGAGGATGGATGGGAGACGGACAGTTCAGCCTCTTCTCTCGACTCGGCCGACTTGACAGCCTTCACTGCGGATGGCCGCTACGAGCAATTTGAGCGTCTAGACAAGCACCCTCACCACGCTCGTGACGACCCTCGCAATCACCACCAGGCGGATGGCTGGCACTCTCATGCCCACAAGCACACCCGTGCGGTCTTCTACGATGAATACGAGCTTCACCTGCCGTCTGGCAGGGCAGTTGGTCACCGCTCTCACAACCGATACTTCAGACAAAATCTCCACAACTACCCCACTGCAGAGGAACGTAAGGAGCGCCTGGCTATCGAGGCAGGCTCGGGCGATGAGATGGATGTGGATGGCAGAGAGGTTGCCACCACCGGTGACCGGAAGACTCGGAACCACCGTGCCTTGGCTCGCAGAGATGCTGCGGGCATGGCTGGTGCGACTGACAAGCAGAAGCGTGTCGTCAGACAGGAGGAGATCAGAGGTCGCAGCAACGCCACCCGTCACCAGAAGCGTTACGACTACGGAGTTAGCGTGAAGCTCAATAACCAGAAGAACTTTTACTACCGCTACCAGGCCGGTGGTTGATCCATTCGCCACTAGATGCGGAGGGAGTTCGGCTGGTTGGTTTTTCTTTTTTTTTCTTTTTTTACAAATGGAATTGAATTGGTATGCATGATGAGATCTTTATGAACCACGCATAGTCAAGATAGACAAATTAGAGGCCATTAACGCTGCGAGTCCTTTGTCATGAAGTCTTGTGAAACTGTCTTGTCAGCGAACAAGCGAGTATTTGGTACAAGGTGACGATGTCTTTAAGTGCATATATATGCATATAATGAGATGCTTGGTCTGTCTACCTACATATTTCGCAGCAAACTCGGACCAGTGTCAATGATCAATACCTCCTACAGTCAACATTTGCCTCATTAGTGGTGCTGATGAACTGGAATTTTCATGATATCATTCACTTGTCTTATTGATTGGTCTTCAGGATGCTCAGAAATGCGTGCCGTTGCCGAGCCATCGTCCAAAGACAGTGCCTCTCAACACAGAGATGGCTGAGCGCCACGCCGACCAGGACTTACATCCCGCGTCCCCAACCGGATGCTGACGGGTGGTTTGACGGACGGAGGCATCCCAGCCGCCATGAAGAACCCGGCTTCGAAAGGCGCAAACCCAGAGAGGAGTTTGGCGGGCGGGACAGAAGGACCTCGCTGCCGTCGCGGGCGGGCGCATCTTACGGGGGGGTGACCGACCGGTTCAGTCACGGAGGTTATAGGGATGCCCCTCGTGACGACCGTGAGCGAGGCGGAAGATTCTCATTGCCGTCGCGGAAGGATCCGCCTCGCAGGGGCAGGCCCGTGAGGCCGAGGACCCAGGTTCCGGAGAGAAAAGGCGGCGGCTTCGTGTTGGTGGTAAGTCGGCATCCCAAGCCTGAAAGGAACTATGCCTTTTGAGATCCTATACTAACCATCCATCAGCCGAGATTGTCACAGGATGAGCTGGACAAGATTGACACTGCAAAAGACGTCTGGGAGGCCAGATCGCTCTACTACGTGCCCCCCAAGAGGTCAAAGGAGCACCAGCAGCCCGTCCCCGTTCCCAAGCCCCCTCGACCCGCGTCGCCACACAGGAACCGCAGCACCAGCATCGCCTCCGCAAGCGATATCAAGGCAGCGATCCGGGGCGAGCCCCAGGACTCGAAGCCCAGCTCGCCGCCATCGCTCCCCGAGCTCGAGGGCGACGGCGGCTCCATTGTGGCCTCTTACGCCCGGGACGTTCCGCACGCCCAGGCCGCTCGGTTCTTCCTCTCGCCGCCCGCCAAATTCCTTTATTCGGCCTTCCGCCTCCAGCACCACCCGCTTAACACGACGACGCCCGAGATCTGCGTCGTCGGCGCCAGCAACTGCGGCAAGTCGTCCTTTATCAACGCCATCACCAACTCCGCCTCGCTCGCCAAGGTCAGCGACCGCGCGGGCAAGACGGTGTCGATGAACGCGTACGGCGTGGGTCCCCTCACCGGTCTGCCGTTCCGGGCGCCCGTAGCCGCCGAGGGCGGCGGCGCGACCAAGGAGGTGCGGCCGGAGCACGGCCTCGTGCTCGTCGACACCCCCGGCTACGGGCACGCCTCACACGAGGAGTGGGGGCGTGAGGTCGTCGAGTACCTCAACAAGCGCACCATGCTCCGCGGCGTCATCCTGCTGCTGTCCTCGGAGAAGAAGGTCTCGGAGAAGGACGCGCAGATTGTCAAGCTTCTCGCCGACGCGGGCCGGCCGGTGATGCTCGTCTTCACCAAGATGGACAAGGCGCTGCTACGCAGGGCTCGGGAGGAGGGCGGCATCGCCGAGCGGCTGCGCGAGGCGGAGCGGTGCTTCGCGAGGACCGGGTGGGACGGTTGGGTGCGGAAGGTGTACATCACGGCGGCGAGGATGGAGCGCGACAAGGCCTGGAAGGTCGACGGGACGGGCAGCGCGGCGGGAATGGCGGGCGTGCGGATGGGGGTCCTAGAGCTGGCCGGGATCAGGGAGTTTGTCGCGCCGGAGAGGGCCAGGGCCTCGTCTCCAAAGACGGGGACGGAGGCCGGTGTGCAAGAGAAGAGGCTGGAACCGGGTAAGGCCTTGGAGAGTGACCCGGCGGCGTGGTCGGGCGATGTGGTTTCGTTCGAGGAGCTGGAGAAGAAGTTTGGGGATTGGAACTCATGAGGCGGCAGCGGCGGTAGTGTTCGTGGTGTAGGATAGTGTTTTGATCGGGTGAATAGACAAGAGATACCCTCTAGGAGAAACGACAACTCATTATACGGCACAAAGTTGAACAAAAGAGTTGAACAAAAGGAATGGCTGTCCTGTTGGTGAACCAACAGAGAACTATCTTATGCGAACATGTAACCGAAAAGTAAACAACGCAGGCGCTATTCATTACTTCCGAAGGCCATCAGCGCTTTGCGCAGGTTCCATCATATGGGTATAATATTCAAGGCAAATTGCGAGCAGTCGTCGTCCGACCATACGTGAACCCTCAAGAACTCCTCCATCCGTCCAAATCCAAATCGCCCGGTGAGTGAAATACAATACAACGCGGCCCGTTAGTAGCAATTACTGCTTATCGCCTGCTGCAGCTCCCGAGACAACCGAGTGCGCCGTTCCTGGCCTACTCAGTTGCCGGCGTAGCTTCTTCGCGTTCTTCGACTCGAAAAGACTCTTCACCCTTCGTAAACGCGCCCAGCGCTCCTTGTCCTTTACATCCCGAGACTGTTCATCGTCTTCACCTCCCGGCTCTGTTGCGGCACTCGGTGAGTCGTAACCACCCGGTGTCAAAGGCGGCGCGACACCTCTGCGTACCGGGGTCGATGGTACAGAGGCTCCTCTGCTGTGCCACCTATTCTTTGGGCGATCATCTAGTGCTCCGCGCAGGTAAGCGTCGTTTTTGAGCACCTGTACCAGGCATTTCCACGCCGCCATGTCCGACTCAACACCGGGCTTCGCGCTGCCCAAGCGCTGCGTGTCCGGGTTCTTCCATGGACAAAAGAACCGGTGCTCTCTGATGGGATCGAGATGGTCCATTGGCGCGGGGACAAGGATTTCGCCGTCGGCGCTGACCTCCTTGCTCTTGAACATCCATAGTCCCAGGCGCCGCAAGCAAGTGTTACAGGATGCCGAGTTTGGCACCGCGCCGATGCGAGGGTTTGTGAGGCCTTGCCATCCCGTCAATGCCAAAGCCAAAGCAACTCTGTTGGGCTGCTTAGGGTCTGGTGAGTCCTTGGCGGGTGGTGGGTTTGTAAAAAAGGCCTCAGGTAGTTGGGTAAGAACATTATCGATATTGAGACCCTCGGGGAGCCTCAAGTTGAACTCGTAGGGGAGGAAGGGTTTCCTTCCACACAGCTCATCGTACCGGTACCGCAATGCCTCTATGCTAATCTTGGCATTGGTCAGGGATAGCCGCAGCAATGAATCTGTGCAAGTTAGTGCGGGTTCTCAACCTAGGAAATTTGTTCAAGACATACCATCGCAGCCCTGTTTCCTCCACAAGCACTCTTCCAGATGTGCTGTAACGATCAGTTCGGAGTACTTGCCGACCAACGCTTCCTCTGCTTCATCAATCAGTTGTGGGTAGCGACAAGGAGTGGCAACCATGAACCTACCAACATCCGATGCAACGAGCACAGGCACCTCCTTGCCGTCGACCTCGCGTTTGTTCAGCTTCACGACAAGCTCCTTGTTGCACAGCGTACACCGAACCCGATCCTTCCCCTGACATACCCATCCTCTCTTGGCCCATTCGATCTCGTTCACCGCATCAGGCTTGGGTGTCCAGTCCGTGATCTCCTGGAACGAAGCCAGTCTCTTGAGAAGCTCGCTTCGGTCGCTCGGTGCGAATTTCGAAGCGACCTTGACCTCTGTCACCTTGGACGAGTTGGGCGTCCACTTCTTTAGTACAATGTTGGTAACGGTTGTTCCCGGTCCCGTTGCACGAATAGAGGGTGAACTCCTCATCGTGGCGGCGTTCTTCTCCGTCAGCGTCTGCAAGCGCCGGCGCTTCAGCAGTATGTCTTCGTCGACCGACATGGTCGGTTTGTTGTTCGCTGTCTCGGTCGTGGTCGTGGTCGTGGAGTTTGTGTCGGTGGGCAGAAGGGAAGTCGTCGATGGGCGAGGAGATTCGGTAGGCACACTGGAGGAGTCATCCGATTGAGTTGACGCGGAGGATTTGCCCATACCCTGAATGAGGGCGTTAAACTTTCGTTTGGTTGCGTTCATTATGATTTCTTGGTTCAGTGTAACCCCAGCGACGGGTGTGCAACGACGCCTGTCCTGAACCAGAGAAGATCAGGAACCAGAGGGCGGGAACGAGAGGCAGGACAGAAATTGTCGACTCGTGTGGGTGAGATTGGGGTGAGTAGGCTTTATACCAGATGCCCTTGATCATTTACGCTGTGTTGCACCATGAAACAAGATCCCCAAGAACAGGATGGTGCTTCGTCTACTAGTCGCCTCCTAGACGCCCAGTTTTGCGAAAGTCAACAAACGACAATTGCTGATCAGGCAATGAGCTTCCACCCCTGCCGCGGCGCTAAGGCGGAAGACGCAGCAACGAACTGAGATAGAGCGTTTAGATACATAAATTGTTCTATCGAGGCTTAGCCGATAAGATAGCGACGATCGAAGGAATCAGAAAAAGAAAAAGAAAAGAAAAAAAAAGGGAAAAAAGTTCGCGAGCAGGGATCGTCTTGCTAAAATTCTGGAGACACCGACCGGCCAAGACTTTGATTCCACAGAAATTTTCCCAGGTGGAGGCCGAAGTCGACTTCATGCTCACCGAGGAAAACTCCCACAAGCCTGGCTTTTCTCGTTTGCTCCCTCTTGCCATTGCGACTGACCGAAACGGCTACCACTTCTCTCCCCGACACACATGTCAGCTCCTGCACCTCCGTCCTGGCTATTCTCGAACAACTTCGCCAAGACCAACGACACCGCTCCTACCACTATTACCACATCGCAACAAGACAAGATGGTCAAGAAGGAGAAGAAATCCGAGAAGAAGGGCAAGGCCGTCGCCGCACCTACCCAACAGGCCCCTCCTGACCAATTAATGGATCTCGTCGACTCCTTCCTCTCCGAGAATGCATTCACCTCCGCCCATGAGGCCTTCCAGAAGCAGCGCGCCCAGAGCGGCTGGAAGCCTTC